CCCCTGACGGGACTCACAACCCCCCGTTGGCCGGTCCGTCTGCCCACGACTACACGATGGCGTCAGCGTGTCAGGAGACACGACTGTCCTCTTATAGCGTGGAGACCAGACAAGGCTCCAGAGAAAATTTCATCACTTTCCTCCCTGTTCAGGCTCATCCTGCATATTGTTCCTCACTACTTCTGTCTGTGCTGATGGTCTCATGTGGAACACAAAGAGTTTGATGAGTCTCTGGTAGTTTGAGGTCAGCTCGGTGTGTCAGGGTCTCATTAACCAGGCTGACAGAGGAAAGGTTTCCAGCTCCTCTACAGACTGATGGTCTGTGGCTGCAGCCTCTTCATACCTCAGAGTCTCCAGTCTCCACTGAGGATCCTCCCGTCCAGCAGACAGCAGCGTGACTCCTGAGTCTCCTGGATGATTGTAGCTCAGGTCCAGCTCTCTCAGATGGGAGGGGTTGGAGCTCAGAGCTGAGGCCAGAGAAGAACAGCCTTCCTCTGTGATCAGACAGCCTGACAGCCTGCAGACACACAACACAACACACACGTCACATGATCTGAGGGAGCCGTGAGGACTAGAAGGTCACTGCAGGACGGAGATATTGTCTCCTACTGAGGGGTCACGTTAACATGGTTACTGACTGGTTTCCACTCAGACACACACCCAATAATCTCCATCAACATCTGATAACGATGACTGAACTCCAATATTTATATTTGTATCATTAATAAATAAACTCTACAACATGTTTATGCAAATATTTGGAAATAAGATGTTTGATGTAAATCATGCAAGCAGAAATAATCTTACGATGTAAACAAAGACATTGATTGAATCCTGACCTGAGAGTCTCCAGGTCACAGTGTGGACTTCTCAGTCCAGCAGACAAGATCTTCACTCCTGAATCCTGCAGGTTGTTGTTACTCAGATCCAGATCTCTCAGACTGGAGGACTGAGAGCTGAGGACTGAGGACAGAACAGAACAGCTTCTCTCTGAGAGGTTACAGCGGCTCAGTCTGAAGAGACAACAAGAAGAAACAAAATCTGTGTTCAAATGAAATTCTCTTTGATGAGGACTTTAGACTCAAATAAAATCCATAAGAGCAAAACAAATGTGTTGAAAGTTTTTTCAATTGTTTCGTTCTACTTTAAACAAGAGGAACAAAACCGGTAATTGTGCTCTACTGTTGACAGGAAGTACTGTAGTATCAATATGAGGACGAGGCAGCAAAATTGAATGCTGTTTAAGGTCAAATAAAAGGTCACGCCTCTCTATCCTCTATCCGACTTGTTTTAAAGAAATAAGAACAAAAGAGCGTAAATAAGGAATGAAACATAAAGACAATATGACCCCGTTATAATGGTCGTGGAAACACTGAACACCAGAACACCCTCTAATGTACAACAATCTGATAACTGAAATGTACCAGTGATGTAAACAAAGACATTGATTGAATCCTGACCTGAGAGTCTCCAGGTCACAGTGTGGACTCTTCAGTCCAGCAGACAAGATCTTCACTCCTGAATCCTGCAGGTTGTTGTTACTCAGATCCAGATCTCTCAGACTGGAGGACTGAGAGCTGAGGACTGAGGACAGAACGTCACAGCTTCTCTCTGAGAGGTTACAGCCGCTCAGTCTGAAGAGACAACAAGAAGAAACAACATATGTGTTCAAATGAAATTCTCTTTGATGAGGAGTTTGAACTCAAATAAAATCTGTAAGAGAAGAAACCAAGAAAACGTGTTCAGTATAATTGTTTTAAAGAAATCAGGATATATATTTAATGCTGTTTATTAGGGAATCAGGAATCAGGAAACATTTATTAGCCAAAATATGTCAAACATACAAGGAATTTGTCTTGGCGGTTAGTGCGCGACAGTAGACAGACAAGACAACAGTGCACAAGTAATAAAATAAAGTAAAATGAAATGCTAATGCAATGGGTTAGTAGAATAAGGCTAAGGGTTAGTATAAAACAAGGATATAAAGTTAAAAAATGTTAAATATTAAAAAGTTAAAAAGAAAAATATTAAGCATAAAGTGCACTAACGAACAAGTAACAGACAAGAGACAAAGTGACAAGTGACGACAAAGTGATGAATTGCAGTTACAGTGGCATGTGCAGTATGAAGGGGAGTGACCGGTGGGATGTCAGAGTCAGTCAGGGGGGGACCGGCTCTGTTGATGAGCCCAACTGCCGACGGGAAGAAACTGTTGGTGTGGCAGGAGGTCTTAGTCCTGATGGACCTCAGTCTCCTGCCAGATGGAAAGGGCACAAACAGGTTTTGTCTGGGGTGAGAGGGGTCGGCTACCATCTTTTTAGCTGCTTCAGAAACCTGGAAGCGAACAAGTCCTGCAGGGACGGCAGATTGCAGCCGATCAGCCTCTCTGCAGAGCGGAAGACACGCTGCAGCCTGCCCTTGTCCTTGGCTGTGGCTGCAGCGTACCAGACGGTGATGGAGGAGCAGAGGATGGACTCCATGATGGCCGTGTAGAAGTGGACCATCATCGTCTTTGGCAGGTTGAATTTCTTCAGCTGCCTCAGGAAGAACAACCTCTGCTGAGCCTTCTTGGTGATGGAGCTGATGTTCAGCTCCCACTTGAGGTCCTGGGTGATGATGGAGCCCAGGAAACGGAAGGAATCCACAATAGTGACGGGGGAGTCACACAGGGTGATGGGGGAGGGTGGGGCTCTGTTCCGCCGGAAATCCACAACCATCTCCACTGTCTTTAGAGCGTTGAGCTCCAGGTTGTTCTGGCTGCACCACGACACCAGATGGTCAGACTCCACCTGTAGGCTGACTCGTCCCCACCAGAGATCAGTCCAATGAGGGTGGTGTCATCCGCAAACTTCAGGAGCCTGACGGACTGGTGACTGGAGGTGCAGCTGTTGGTGTACAGGGAGAAGAGCAGAGGGGAGAGAACGCAGCCTTGGGGGAACCGGTGCTGATGGTCCGAGAGGCTGAGACATGTTTCCCCAGCTTCACGTGCTGCTTCCTGTCAGACAGGGAGTCTGTGATCCACTTGCAGGTGGAGTCGGGCACGTGCAGCTGGGAGAGTTTGTCCTGCAGCAGAGACGGGATGATGGTGTTGAAAGCAGAGCTGAAGTCCACAAACAGGATCCTGGCGTAGGTTCCTGGGGGGTCCAGATGCTGGAGGATGTAGTGGAGGGCCATGTTGACACCATCGTCCACAGACCTGTTGGCTCTCTAGGCGAACTGCAGGGGGTCCAGGAGGGGGGTCGGTGAGGGTCTTCAGGTGGGTCAGGACTAGCCGTTCAAAAGACTTCATGACTGCAGAGGTCAGGGCGACGGGCCTGTAGTCATTGAGTCCTGTGATCCTGGGCTTCTTGGGGACAGGGATGATGGTGGAGGCCTTGAAGCAGGCTGGTACGTGGCATGTCTCCAGGGAGGTGTTGAAGATGTCAGTGAACACCGGAGACAGCTGGTCAGCACAATGCTTCAGGGAGTGAGGGGAGACTGAGTCCGGACCGGCTGCTTTACGGGGATTTAGTCTTCTAAAGAGCCGGTTAACGTCTCTCTCCAGAATAGAGAAGGTCGTTGCTGGTGGGGGAGGGGAAGGTGATATAGATGAAGAGGCGTGAGCACCTGATGGGCTGGGGGAGGGAGGGAAGGGGGACTGCAGCAGGTTGGTGGAGCTGTGGGGGATGGGATCAGGACATTGTCTTTCAAATCTGCAGTAGAACTCATTCAGCTCGTCTGCCAGGCGGAGGTCATTCATGGAGTGGGGGGTTTTTGGCTTGTAGTTGGTGAGGTGTTTGAGGCCTCTCCAGACCGAAGCAGAGTCACTTGCTGAGAACTGTTGTTGGAGTTTCTCAGAGTACAGTCGTTTAGCATCTCTCACCGCCTTGCTAAACTTGTATTTTGCCTCTGTGTACAAGAGTATTTGAATTAAGGTCAAATACAAGGTCACGCCTCTCTATCCTCTATCCGACTTGTTTTAAAGAAATGAGAACAAAAGAGCGTAAATAAGGAATGAAAC